AACTTATCTTTCCGCAAACAATCTTGTAAAATCTGTATTGATCTTCTTTATCAATATATATTTTAAATTTGAAAATTGTGTTTGTATTCATCCCCCCCCCCTTCCCCTTCTACAACCTGTTTAGTATTCTTGTAGACCCTTTTGGGACCAACATTAATCAAAACCAACCAAATGGTAAAACTTATAGTTATGAGCTTTATTTCTGTATGGATACAAAACTCAACGTTTGAACTTCATAAACGTTGAGTCCTACGTAATACACTTGAGCATCTTTACTATATAGTACTCGATTCGCAATACAAAACCAGATAAAACTATAAAAATAAATTAAATTTAGAACGATGGAGTGTGAAATGAACCACAAAGCATAAATGAATGCTCTATCTATTAAAAAGTTTAGTAGTAGAAAGGTCGGTTGTTAACCGATTGGTCGTAAATTCAAATCCTACCTAAGGAGATTTAAATTTGTGTGTTATATTTTTGACTTGGAAACTTAAGCCATCATCAATAGGCTAGTCGAAAGTAAGCTATAATTTATATTTCTTTTGTTAATTAATTAATTACAGGGATTAGTTTTAATTAATGAGACACTGCTTACATCAAGGGTGACGTTTGGTTCGCAGATTCTGGAGGAATCTGATGGAATTGGAATGTTGAATTCCATTGACCAAATTCCATTGTCTCGTTTGGTTCATTCATTTTCACGAAATGAATATTTAAAATCCTACAAATTCCACAAATAAAGAAATTTAACATTCCTTAGCAACTATATGGTATTTTGACGGAATGAAATCTTTATCTTCATTATACCAAATATGTCATTAACATAATATACTCTAATCTCATAAAACTTTATATGACCATTGTTGACCACCTCCGACCACTATTGATCTGAACTACCGTCGACTACCACCACCGATCTGAACCACCACCGCCGCCACCACCACTAACTACCACAAATCTGAACCAACGCCGACTACCACCGATCTGAACCACCGCCAACCACCACCACTGACCACCACCGATCTGAACCACCTCCGACTACCACCACTGACTACCACCGATCTGAACCACCGCCGACTACTACCGATCTGAACCACCACCGACGACCACCGATCTGAACCACCACCGACCACCACCATCGATCTGAACCACCACCGACTACCACCGATCTGAACCACCGCTGATCTGAACCACCGCCGACCACTACCGATCTAAACCACCGTCGACCACTACCGATCTAAACCACCGCCGACCACTAACGATCTAAACCACCGCTCATCTGAACCACCGCCAACCACAACCGATCTAAACCACCATCGAACACCGCCGATCTAAGCCACAACTAATCTGATTCACCGTCAATCTGAACCACCGTCGATAACCGCCATCTGAGCCACCATGGACCATCACCGATCTAAACCATTGTCGACCATCGCCATTTGAACCACCACACACCACCATCGATCTGAACCACCGCTAACTACTACCAATCTGAAGCACTGTCGATCTAAACCACCATTGACCATCACCGATCTGAACCACATTCAACCATCGTCACCTGAACCACAACGGACCACCATCGATCTATATCACTGTCAACCACCGACGACTACCATCGATCTGAATCACTGTCGGACACCGCCGACCATCATCGATTTGAACAACCATCGCCGCCACCGCCTATCTGAACCACCGTTGACCACCTCCATTTGAACCACTGCGGACCACCATCGATCTGAATCACTGCAGACCACCACCATCTGAACCACTATGGACCACCACCGATCTAAACCACCGCTGACCACCGTCGATTTAGTAACGTCGTTTGTCTTATGATTATATTTGAGTTGTGTATTTTATATTGTTTTACACATTAAATAATTATTTTATTAAAGTATTTCATAGTTTTTAAAAAAAATTCAAAAATGGGCATTTTGGTCATTTACCAATATTTTATTCCAATTCTAAAGCTACATTCCGTGAACCAAACAGAAGATTCCAATCCCTTAACGTATTTCATTTCAATGTCTGCCAACCAGGTGGTCAAACCTGACAACATTTCATTCCAATTTCTTCAAAGTCATTTAACAAATTTCATTCTACCCAAAAACATTCTGCGAACCAAACGCCATCGTCATTCCAGAAGACTTAATGTCTGAGGGACGAGTATTTTTAAATGATTTATCAATTAATCATAAGTAATTGAGAAAATCTAGCAAACATCTATTTGGGCGAGGTAACTCTTCATCTGGACTCATCAAACAACGTTGCATTCCGGAAAAAGGATCCATGTAAGTTAGAGTTTTTTTGAAGTATATAATATTTATATACGGTAAATAGAACAAATAAACTCACACATCTTTCTCACATTTGGTAAAGTTTATGAACCCTTGACCTCCTAGAAGGCCAAAGACTCATGTACCGCTAGACCAAATGCCCTTTAGTGTTAGGTTAGAGTTCATTGAGATGTAGGTTAGAATTTTTGATTGGATATCAAGAAGATTAAAGAATGGATCCATATAGTGTATTTTGTCCTTCCATTTGTAATTCTTTTCTTGGGCTTAACCTTTGCATCATGTATGTGTGTTTGTTAGGCTTAATTTTGGTGTAGCCATCGTGGTATGCGATGGCCTTTGTATTTTTGCTTCTTGTTAACACATGCTGCCTTGTTCCGTAATTAAGTACTCAAGAAAATTGTTTGTTACAACATTTTCTTACCGTTTTTCCAATAGTTTTCTCCTATATTTTGTTATGAAACTCTTAGCCAGGGCCGTCCCTGGCCACGTGCGGCCCGTGCAGGGCATCAAAGCCTAAAGAGGCATCAAGTTGTCATTTGTTACTAGTTTTGAGTTTAATAATTTGAGAATTGGACAACTGAACTTTAACTATAAAAACATACCCAAAACTTAAAAGTGATGAATACTGAATGCACATCGTTGGAAAAAGTTGGAAAGTTGGAAAAGTTCTTGTTTGTATAAAATTGTCTGTATGAATAAAGTTGTCTATATGAATTAATCTGTTTGTATAAGTTTGAAAAGTTTTTGTTAGCAAGAGTTTTTTCTCAGATGTGAGGAACGTTTTTTTGGTTGGAAGGGACATGTTTGGAAGAAAAAAAACTTAACTTTCTATATAAAGCTCCCCCTAGAAGCTTATTGGATAAGTCATTTTCTATATCATTAAGCCACTATGAAACAATCATGCATAGTTGAGCGAATAAACTGTTAGTTCCATTAAACTTATTAAGCTGCTAATAGATTGATCCTTAGCCTTTAGTCGTTAGACCTGTAACTTTTGAGTTTTACTTTTTTCTTACTATGACAATAATTTGGATGTAATTTATTATTTTAGTTAAAAACTAATTATAATTTTCCTTGTCTTTTAAGTCCCATATATTGAAATAAAATTTATATTTTGCTAATTTCAATTTGGAAAAAGGAAAACCGGAAAAGAAGGAACCACGGTCTTAATTCATGATTTATCATTTTATATTTTGTATTCAGGGTTTTGATTTTTATGTCCCCCTCTTGTTTTTTATTATAATTAATAAAAATCAACATGGGGATGAGATACTTAGCTTGAATAGGTTCTAAACTCTTTAAAAAATCGCATGTTCTGTTGTTTTATTAGCTTAAAAAAATAGGCTTAGGGAAATTTTTTATTATTTTTGGCATAGGGCATCAAAAATCTTAGGACCGACCCTGCTCTTAGCTCACTTCAATATATATTTCGTAAAGGAAATTGCGACGTTTCATCAGTCCTCTAAGCTTTTCCTTAGGTTGAACTCCTGAAATATATAGTGAACCCTTTGTGATTCAGATGATCTACATATTATGCTTATTTCATCAAACATACTGAACTGTCTGTCTAAACAAATTAAGACCCATTAAAATCACCCATTTTGTTCTTCACCAAATAGTCTTCTTGATAAATATATTTCAAATGCTTACAGATTACTCATTCAGCACGTTTTTCAACATTTATCAAAACATTAATTATGTAATCATGCAGCTTTGAATATAACGATAGGCTATGTTGAACTTCATGACCATAAATTAAGCCCGACTTATTGATGACATAAATATTTTTGAAGTACATAAGTATGTGATCCACTCTATGAATTTTTATCAGACGTACATGGTTGTATTAATGGCTGCACCTTCATCACCATGCTTCACGGTTTCTTCCCYACACCATRGTTATGGTAGCAYSAGATMTAGTAATCTTGGAGGCACAAACCATGCTGCTTCTTGGGGTTTGCGTGCAAAGGTGAATCATGGTTCTAGAGTCGGTGTTATCGATTGGAGCATGCCAACGATCACGACTACTTTTCGGAAGCCATTGATGATTCTTGACTGCAAGAAAAAAGGTCTGGAGTTGGTTTCAGATATTGGTGTAGGAAGCTTGGTTAAGGATGGCCATGTATTCCGTCAAAATTTCTGTATTAGATCATATGAAGTTGGACCAGATCGAAAAGCTTTGGTAGAGAACCTAATGAATTACTTCCAGGTATACATACATACATACATATATATATATATATATATATTTATATGCTTTTCCTCAATCTCAAGCTGGGTGCACACAACACACACACACACACACATATATATATATATATATATATATTGAGTAGCGTTTAAATAAAAACCACTTAATTTGTACAAACCATGAAAACCACATTCAACCGATCATAATTTTTCATTTTGTTCATTTTTTATAATTATGAGAGGTTGATTAACCATTTTTATTGTGGAGGGTGTTAATCATGGATATTATCATCTTCATTATTTTAATTTTAGAAAAATACATGAAACTGTTTCATTAAAATTTCATTAAATATTATATGAAACAATTTCATAACCATATATGAAACAAATTCATCAAAAAAAGTATTATATGAAACAATTTCATAACCATATATGAAACAAATTCATCAAAAAAAGTATTATATGAAACAATTTCATGAAAAATTTTCATAAGATTAAACAATGAAATCGACGTATGAGGGTGATTTGTACAAATGAGGTTGATTTTCATTTGATCGCTCCTCTATATATATGTGTGTATAATATAAAATGCTTTATGAAAATGTGACAACATTTCTTGGCCTCCAATTTTTTAATTAATAATAAAAATTAGAATAAATGGAAATAGATTAGTGTTTATCAACAATTTAATTTTCTATTATTTTAGATTTGTAGTTATATCTTAACTGTTACTAGTACCATGGAAGATTTCTGATGTCGATGTGTTCGTTGTTGATAATAATGTGATAATACTTTGATAAGTCGAACACTTTTTATGATGTGATTTTGCTGTGATAATTATCTGAATTTTGTTGTAATAATAATGTGATAAATAGAAAACTAGTTATGTTCACGTCTATAATTATCGGCTTTGTCTTTACATTATGTGATTTGCGGTTTTTTTCTCTACTTTACTCTTGCATGCCTTCAATGTTCTTAAATAAGGGGTAAATATTAATTCAATATTTTACTGTTATCTCAATCCTTTTAAAACTGTGACTTCAACAGAATGATGGTCTTACGAGCGTAAATCACAGGTGTTCTCGTTTGAACTCTTCTATGTATATAATATGGATGTTGGAGTTTCATATAGGTTAGACTTTGACCATTTATTCTCAATATATGTTTAAACCTCCTCTCTCTTTACAGGAAACGTTCCTTAATCATTTTAAGACAGCTGGACTCACTCATCATGATAACTACGGTGTAACACCAGAGATGTGCAATAAGAACCTATTTTGGGCAATAGCAAAAACGCAAGTGGAAGTAGACCGTTATCCACGTTGGTACAACTTAACACTCTTCTCTCTCGGTATACTTCAAATGCAATCACGTCTATTTGTACAACCAATGCAACCCAATCAATTGAGATATTTATGAAAATGATGAGAGTTCATTTATTATGATTTGAATATTTATGAAAGATGACTATAGTTCATTAATTATGATCAATACTTTATATTAGGAAACCATCAAAACTTTTATGAATCACATATTCATCAAATTAAATGGACGGTTGATATTGGTTGTACAAATGTAAATGATTGCATAATAACCCACGTCTATATATATATTAGCTTGGTTCACAGTAATACGATATATAAACCGATCATCTTTGTTTAGGGTTATTTAGGGTTAGTTGTTGCTTTGATGATTAGTATAGCAACCAAGTTACAAATCCAGGAACTTAAAGGCTTTGTAAAATTATACCATTGGGAACTTGAGCATCTTTTTCAAATCTCTTACAGGGGTGATGTTATTCAAATTGATACTTGGATATCTGCATTTGGCAAAAATGGTATGTCCACTAATTGGATGTTGTGTGATTGCAAAACAGGCGATATATTAATGAGAGCTTCAAGGTAAGAACATGAAAACTAAAAACTTGAGGCAAAACTTCTTTGTACTAATGATGGTATATCCATGGATGCAATCTTGTAGTACTTTTGTGATGATTAATAAAGAGACGAGAAGGCTATCCAAAATCCCACTCGAAGTTCGAGCTGAATTAGAGAAATATTTTGTGGATACAGCACCTATCATCGAAGAGATTACTAGCAACTTCCCAAAACTTGATAAGAACAACGTTTATGTTCGCAATGAATTAACAGTGAGTCGAATTTATATAGCCTACAGGTTTTTTGCTGGTTAGGTGACCTTCTTGACATTTTCTGTATGCACAAATATTTAGCCAAGATGGAGCGATTTGGATGCCAACCAACATGTTAATAATCTGAAATATGTTGGATGGATTCTCCAGGTAATTTGGGTTGTCTTGCATTTTAACGATGAATAGCACCCCATTATGCATTAATTAATAAGACACCTGGTTGTTGTTATAGGATGTTCCGGAGCGAATTTTGGAGAATTATGAGCTTGCTAGCATGACTTTAAAGTATTGTCGAGAGTGCACGATGGGCAGTGTGGTGCACGCGTACACTTCTATATTGGGGAATAACAATGGCGGAATAGCTTATTACAGTCATGTTGATTGTCAGCATCAGCTTCAACTCGACGTTGCTGGTGGTGATGGCGAGATCATATTGGAAGGAAGGACTAGGTGGCGGCCAAAAAATACGACAACAGTAGAACTCTGAAACAGTGGTGACTAGTTCCCAAATGGAACTGATAGAGAGTATGTTTATATTCTTCAATATTCGTAAACGTTTGCAAATATCCTATTTCCTTGGCGATTGTACGTTAACTAGGAATGTATTCACTATATACATATGTCGCATCCACAGTGGCACAACGGCGTGCATGCCTATGATGCCCCTATACGCGGTTAATAGTCGGATGCACCCGTAATCTAAGTGTCACAACACATTTGACAACGTAATGTGTCAATTATGATCAAGTTATATTAAAGGATATGAAAATCAAATGAGTACGTGATATTGATCAATGGTTAATTAAACAAGGATGCAAATATGCGATGACCTAAGTGAAATAAAGTCGAAATGTTGCATTTGAAATAAGTGATAAGAGTTTGAATCGACAGTATGCAATTAACACTGTACTATAACTTTGTATCAATATATAGAAGTTCTATCACAATGGGTGGGTGCTCTTGTATAGCCACAATTGATTTAAATGCCACTATCCAACTTTAACGTATGTATTCATATGATTTATCGATCTATGCATGTTTGTACTCTTCATTTCAGCCTTTGTGGTTGATGAAGAAACTTGTTATCCTATCACATTCTTTTGTATGTCGAGAGAATAGTGAAGGAAGTACGACACTAATAAAATAGTGTTTTAGAACTTACTTTGTCTGACATGTTGAACATGTCCCCATACCAGGATGAGTGTTGAAAAAGTTGGTAAGTCAAACTTGTTGGACGAGTTTGTACTCCAAAATCCAGCTTTGTGGTAGTAGTATTTGTCATATTACTATTTTACTTTATCTTTATATTTGATCTTCTTTTCGTTAGATGACAAACTAATCCACTTCAGTGACGATCTTGACCTCACTTCAACAAGTCATCAATTTTGTTGAAGGTTTTTCGTTATCAGATCACTACAGCTCGTGATAAGACTTTTACAAGTAAAAATCCTATATTTTCTATTCCCAAAAATAAGTTATACATCGATTCCAACTATAGAATATTCGTAAAGTAGATTTATTGGATTCTAAAATAACTTAGAATAAAATGTGGATCCTTGAAACTCAAGATGGAAAGACCAAATGATTAGTCAATTGGGTTCTGGAAATTGTATGAAGAATAATCAAATCAAAGATTTGATCTCACAAGTTATCTGAATTACAGATCCAATGTTTGACTAACATATGAAGCCTTACTAAGGTTCAGATGTTAATCCTTTTGAGTTATACTGATTGATGTTGTTTATTGGATAATAATGTTACAAGGAAATGATAAGAATTTCTTTCTAAGTATTGAATCAGATGCTAGTTGTATTATCAGAACATCAGATGGTTAAAACTAAAGATCTCCCCCTTTTTTGTTAATAATTCAGATAGATATCTATAAATGAAACACTTAAAATAAAATGGTATTGAAACTCAAGCGAAAAATAAAATCAAAACTCAGAAATTCAATGATCTATTTTTTGATTCTTTTTGTCTTTTTTTTCTTTCCTTTTTATTTTATTTCCTTTTCTTTTCTTTTTTATTACAAAACAATATAAATGAAAATAATGTAAACGAAACTTTTCATTCAACTTATAAGATACGACCAGAATATGATTACATAAAATTATGTTAATCATAATTGAATCTTGGAGGTTGAAGATGAAGGCAATCAGTCTTTTGATTTTTTCGAGTTACATATTTTCTTGCTCGTCCTTTAGCTTTTTCCTCTTCATATGTCATATGTCATTTTCCTTTATCAAAAGGACTTTGACTTCTGCTTTGCTTCCCTGAGTTGTTGGAGGGATTTGCTCCCCTTCAATGGTTGGAAGTATTTTGCTTTCATTATGTTGCTAATCGGATCATCTTGTTTCTCCCCCTCATCAGCAACAGTGGAAAAAAGTAGGGCATCCACTTTTGTGGTCAAGAGGTGCATAGAACATCTTGTAGTTTCATGATATTTCTCAATCTGAATTATTCGTACCCTATCTTCAACAGTGAACGATGTCGTAAAAGAGGACTTAGTGGAACTTTTGTTGAGTCAGAGTTTGAAGTAAGGAGTTTTGAACATCAATTTTGGAATGGAGTTGCTCCAAATATGTCACAAGGCATCGAATGAGAATAAATGCTACTTCTTCTTGAAGTGTTTCACTATACTCCAGTCTTTTGTTGGAACGAGACCGGTATCCTGTAATGCTGAAAGTTGCTTTTGTATTTCGAAAAGTTGGTGAAATAAGGAGGTTGATAAGATTTAGGTGTTAGAAGAATGAATTAGATGAGAATACGTGTGTTGAACATCTGATTGATGAGGAAGGAAAGTTGAGGTTACTAGATGATTTTCAAATAGTGGAGAATGGATGGGGCTTGAAAGAAAATCATGTATCTTGAGGAATTTGGATAAGTTTGAATCAACATTGCCCGTATGTTGAGATATAGGAATGGATTATGGATATATGGTTAGGATCCGATGAATCAACAATGTCCTTTGAAGAGGGCATTGAGGGGATGGTTGGGGGTGCGGATATTGTGGGTCCGATATGGAATGGAGAAAATAATTTGGAAAGAAAGTCATTTTTTGAGGGATCGAAGTGCACCCTGGGAGTATTGGTGATCACTGAAGATGCATCATAATTGGCTAGGAAAGCAAAGTCTTTTCCTCATTTGTTATTTGATGATTGTGAGATATGAGAAGATGTCAATGGCTCTATTGGCATTATTATCTCAAAAGAGAATACGGGATCATGACTTTGACCAATGAAAGTAAGGTCTTTGTAGGAATCCAGATCTTCTAATGCACTAGTAATCACAGCTTAAGTCAATAAGTGAGCGGAAACAATATTATGAAACTAGTAGGTTAAGAAGAAATGAACAAGACATAGAAATCCTTGAATTATCGAAAAAGTCGACTGTATTTGAATTGTTAATGAGAATATGTCAAGAACACCAAGAACATGCACAAGTGTGTGTACAAAATATCTCTCAACTAGCTAACTTTCTCACAAGTGCTAAAATATCTCTATAAACTGGCAAGGAGCACGTCTTCTTCTTTTCAAGATTGGTAATTGATATCCTTAGAGAAATTACCCTTTTATAGGAGTTTTCTAGAAAAGGAATCTGCCATAATTTGGGAAATAAGAGAAGTTAACGCGTCCACCAATCATCTGCCTTCACGTGTCTGATTGGAATAACCGTTTTTGGAAACGTGTCGGGTTGAGACTTGACCACTTGCAAGACGCACCGTGGAACCTTCACATGAAAGGAAGAGTAGGAGACCTAGAGGCTCTGCATGTATAGTGCAGAGGCTCTGTGTCTTGAGTCGGGATCTGTACGAATCCTTAGCTTTTTGACACGCAATCTTCGATCTTCTTTCCTCTTAGCGACGAGCTCTATATCCGGGTATCATCTCTGTATCTGAGCTCTTGCTTCCAGACATATTTCTAGACCAAGACCTCTTGACTAGAGCAAGAAGCTTATTACTTTCACTTTTGAAATAAACATTTTAACAATCTTCCTCTAAGTGTAATAAAAAGACTTGTTGGAATTAAATTCTAGTCCAGAAAGCAAGAGGCCAACATGGTCTTCTGTAGGATATTTTTATTTGGAATTGATAAAGCAGAGTACAATACTTAACCAAAAAAAAACTTACAATGAAAGAGACCTAGAAATGTTGAAGTTTCATGAACCTCCTAAGAAGCTTATGAAACTCAAGTACACCATCGATTGAGTGTATGAGTGCAGAGGCTCTTTCTCTTGCAGCGAGGTCTTGGTCTTCCTTTTGACATAAGTGATTCTTGATCCAGTGCAGAGTGTCATTTGAATATTTGAAACGTTGATCTACTCTGAAGAATACTTTCTGTTTGAGTTCATTTCGAAAGACCACCCCAAGCTATGGCTCTATGATGACTATCCAGGAAGGGATGAACTTGATGCCTTCAAGATCTTCGTTTGGCACGGTAACAGATAGTTGATCCACTCTTTGAAAGTCGACCTTGCTCCTAAACTCCTATAAATCCATCATGGTTTGGCGTATAGCAGAGTTAGCCAATGCGAACTTGATCTCCTTTTCTCTCTTATGATCCGTATGAAAGTACACAATGATAAGATCCCAAGGGTTCAGATTTATGAGATCACAATTTGTGAAAACACTTATCTGTCCTTGAGATCGTTCCACCATGTATTGATGAAAGATGATATGGTTGTCAATGAAGGTCCTCTTCTTGATGTATGGTACTTGTTTTATCCCATCACAGAAGTGAACTTCTCAGACAGGAAGAATATATTGACGAAGGAACCTCTGCCTTGTATTCTCTTCGGCAGTTGGGTGGAGGTTGATCTTTATTTGTGGCACCTCTTCCCTTTATCTGTATAAAAACTGGTATATCTTTTCATTTGCAATCGGTTCTTTAATTGCCTTGTTCTTGAGAAGAGGCCTCATCATCGCATCCATTTGTTCCCTGATTTTCTTGTACTCTGTCATACACAGGATTGGAGCTCCGAGGTTGGTTGCTGCTTGCTTATGGTTGAGTATGATGTTGTTGGTGTGGTTTTGGAGCTTGGTGAGGATTTTGGCTTGGCTTTGGAGTTCTGGTTCTTGGATCTTGGACAGACAGAGCAGATGCAGAAGCAGATGTGAGCCTTGTTGGATTCACTTATTTTGCAACAAGAGGTTCATCCTCAGACTCGTCTACTATAACATTTACGATGACCTCCTCTTTAATCTTTGTCTTGCTGAGGTAGAGCTTCTTCCATAAGGGTTCAAAGGATGATGATGATGTTGATGAAGAGTCATACGTGTTGATGAGGAGTTTCAAGGCAGAGCTCTTTTCTTGACCAATGCATGTAGAGGCAAGCCCTGATTTCGCAGGCTTTGGTTGCTCTGGTTCTTTCTGTTGAGGTTGTGGTGAAAGCGCAGGCTTTTGATTTGATTCTGGGGCAGACAAAGAGGAGGTGGGAGCAGCATGAAATGAATTTTGTTGAGAGCTCTCCCTTTTTTGATGATCTTGAGGACCAAATTCATCTGGATTCTCTT